TTATTTTGATTTATATGTAACCCCATTCGTTCTGCTGCTGCTACTAGCTCGGTTAGGATTTCGCAGTTCTCGCCCTAGTTCTTGTTATAATGTCCACGTCGTCTGCATATGCTAGAATTTGGACTGATCTATTAAATATTTATAATTTATATTGGAATCAAACTGCCAAGGTAAGAGTTGACAGCCAGTACACCGAAAATATCAAAATACAGAGAGGAGTCCGCCAGGGTTGCGTGCTGTCCCCACTACTTTTCAATGTCTACAGTGAAGCGGTATTTCAAGAAGCGCTCTCAATAGAAGGTATATCTATCAATGGAGAAGTTTTGAATAACTTACGTTTTGCAGATAACAACAATGATTTACCTAATGCAACGCCTTAATGAACGCTGTCATGAGTACGGACTGAAGATAAATTTAAAGAAAACTAAATGCATGATCATGACTAAATCTGCACATGCAAATATCCAATTGACTATTGAAGATACTGCAATTGAGAATGTTAATAACTATAAACATTTAGGAACATGGATAACATCAGATGTAGACCAAACCAAAGAAATTAAGACACGTATTGAAATAGCACGTACATCATTTATTAAACTTAAAAAGTTTCTTTGTTGTCGGGATATAAGGTTAGAACTACGCCTGAGAATGCTTCGATGTTACGTGTTCTCTACTCTTCTTTATGGTCTGGAAGCTTGGACACTAAAACAAGTTCATCTGAATAAGCTGGCCGCCTTTGAATTTTTGTGTTACAGAAGAATCCTACGAATATCATGGATTCAAAGAATGTCAAACATGGAAGTAACTAGAAGGATAGGAAATGAGGCGGAAATAATATTAACTATTAAAAGACGAAAACTTGAGTATTTGGGACATGTGATGAGAGGGCAAAAATACGCATTATTACAACTTATTATGCAGGGAACTTATTATTATCCGAGGAAAGCGAAATGTGGGAAGACGAAGAATATCCTGGCTTAAGAACTTAAGGGAATGGTTTGAATGCAGTAGTGCAGAACTTTTTAGAGCGGCAGTCAACAGAGTCCGCATAGCCATGATGATTTCCAACCTTCGATAGGAGATGGAACTTAAAGAAGAAGATTAAATATTGTTCCCCTGCTATCTAAATTAGCGTCTCGTACAACTTTTTCTAAGGCGACATTAAAAAGCTGACACGCCAGCGCATCTCCCTGCCTTAACCCCCTATGTATTTGAAATGGGGTTGACGAGTCGTTTTGAATTTTTACTGCTGATAGCATCTTCGCCATTGTCACTTTTATCAAACATATTTTTTTGTTTGATAGTTTTTTTTGAGTTTTTTTGAAATTCCTAACTCATTCATAGCGTTGTAAAGACTTGGTCTTAAGACACTGTCATATGCCGCTTTAAAATCGACAAAAATATGATACATATCTATGTTAAACTCTTGCGCTTTTTCGAGGATCTGTCGTAGTGTAAAGATCTGGTTAATGGTTGAACGTCCAGGCCTGAATCCTGCCTGATATTCCCCTAGAAACATTTCAGTATAAGGCTTTAATCTCTCGTGCAAAATATTTGATAATATCTTGTATGCTGTATTTAGGAGAGTTATTCCGCGGTAATTATTGCATTCCAGTTGGTTTCCCTTTTTGTGTAACGGGCAAATTAAGCCTAAGCTCCATTCTTCTGGCATTTGCTCCTCAGACCAAATTCTACAAACAATTTCTCGCATCACCTTGGTGAGCTGCTCTCCACCGTGCTTAAATAACTCTGCTGGAATGCCATCGCTACCTGGGGACCTATGGTTCTTTAGTTTTTCTATAGATATTTTTACTTCATCTACCGAGGGGGGTTCCACGAGTTCCTCATTTCGGTATTCCAGCTCTATATTGTTAGTAGGTTCCCCTTCCAGCAACTCTCGAAAGTGCTCTACCCATCGTAAAAGGATGTCCTCTTTGTTGGTAAGTAAGTTGCCTTCCTTATCATTACAATAGTTGATTCTTGGTTTGAATTCTTTTCTAATACTATTTATTTGATGGTAGAACTTTCTTGTTTCTCCGTGACTCATATGGCTTTCGAGCCGTTCTAACATGTCATTTTCCGAGTCTCGTTTCTTTTTTCGGTGTATGCGTTTTTCCTCTCTCCTTAAGTTTTTGTATCTATCTATTGTTGTTCTAGTTTTTCGTTGTTGCATGGTCCTAAATGCCTCGTTCTTCTCATCTGTTATTTTTTTGCAGTCTTGGTCGAACCAGTCGTTTCTTTCTTGGGTTCGGGATATTCCCAATGTGCTTTCGGCTGCTAATTTCAGAGCCTCCTTGCAGTTGTTCCACATTTCCGTGCTTGACTGGTCGACTGCCCATTTGTGTTCTAGGGTTTCTTTTATATGTGACTGGAACTGTTTCTCCTTGTTTTCATTTTTGAGCATATGTAAATTATATTTTCTTGTCTAGTGCCCCTTTCTTTCTTGGCATTGGAAATTCTTTGTCGTAACTTGGCCCCTACCATAAAATGATCTGAGTCAATATTTGCTCCTCTGTAACTTCTTACGTCCATTAGGTTTGTAAAGTGCCTTCTGTCAATTATAACATGGTCGATTTGATTTGTGGTGTGTCCATTTGGTGATATCCAAGTGGCTTTATGGATATTCTTGTGATTAAAACATGTACTTCCCACAATTAAATCTTTGGAAGCTGCCAGACTAATAATCCTTAAACCATTGTCATTAGTAACGTCGTGAAGGCTATGTTTAGCAATATAATCTTGGTAGCATATCTCTTTTCCTATCTGGGCGTTCATGTCTCCAATGAAAAACATTCAACACACGCTTTAATATCTCTTTTGGGTTTCGCAAAACCGACACTTGCAGCATTTCTGATGCTTCCAAAATAAAAATAAGGGAATGTAAAGATGAAAGTCTCCTAGCTATCAAAAGTTTTAAAAAATTTTAAAGTGTTTGTCCTTGTGTAGTGTAGTGGGATGTTTAATTTTATGTTTATAACATTTTATTCTTATTGGATAGGCCGCAATTGACGAAGTAAGTCTAAAACGTTAATCACATAAAAACTTTTATCAACCATCAACTTTGAGTTTTTATCGAAGTTAATTAATTTCTTCAGTTAAAATAACGTTTCTTGGCTTATTTCAGATGCACCTGAAGATGCTCTAGGAAGCGAAAGTACTTGGGCAAGATCAAATTAATAATACTGTGCTCGATATCTGCCTTTTATTTGATTTAAAGTTCATTTATTCGAGCATTCAACCTTATATCAATTTTCATCTTCAATTTGTTGGTAGAATATTTCTACTTCATCTTCTGTTGCATCAGTCGTTGATGCATATATATTGGAACAAAACCCTCTATTGACTTGTTGACCTCTGTATCGACAATAATTGCTACACCACGTCTATGCCGGTTTTCAATGTTTCCCGAGTAATATAAGATACCGGTTTCTGTCGAAAGCTATCCTGAGTTAGGCCACCATGTTTCGCTTACACCTAATATATTTATATTCATTCTTTTCATTTCTTGAAGGATGTTATGCATTTTACCAGGTTGATACGTGCTTTTGAAGTTCCACGTACCTATTTTTGCTTTTGATAATTTTACTTTGTCGTGTTTCGATGTTTGGCAAGAGTTTCGTCGGTTAACGACCTGGGAGCTCTTGTCTGTTTCTCCCCTACCGGATCTTGGGCTCCGGTTCCCTTGATCAGTTTATTTTTTTCTTTTAGAACTCATTGCCATGATGATTGTACTAGAGATATCCAATTGGATCTTTAATGCAGTGGTTTCTCCTAGCCTTCTGCATCCTTATTCCGTTGACCATTTACTGAATTCATTCCCGTTTGGTGCCAATTTCTTAGCTCCAGGGCATAAAAGTGCCCTTCCACTTACCAACTAACTCGTCCGCCCGAAGCCGTTGTTCAGTAAGTATGGGATTGCTTATCAATGCGGTAGAATTTTCGCCATATCTGGCTACCCTCACTTAGTTTAGCCTGCAGAACAATGCAGTTGCCCGGGGTGTGGCACGTGGAGCCACAAGTGTGTTAGTTGTCTTATGAGGACCAGTTATCAAGAACCATCTCCCGTCTATGACTCTCGATGTGGTCGTTCCGATAAAAGGTGCTACCTCTATAACACAACTCTACACTCCACCACCACTTTACTACAGCAGGAAAACTAAACGTTTATCACGTTTACCCGCTTATATAAAGTTGAATTTACAATTCCAGAAAAATCTAGGCACTACTGTAGTGTCTTCTCTTGCTAAAACACGAATGTTATGACAGCATATTAGATGCTATTAAATGGCGAATCAACTGAGTATGATAAGACAAGGTGGTCGCCAAGTTTTTTTTTTTGAGAAACAAAGTTTGAACAACGAGAAAGTTTGCGAACACTGCATTATAGGAATTAAATACCTGACTTTTTTAATATTGTTTTGACGGTAGGTCGATTTCAAGTTTTTACTATCGTCATTGTTTATGTTGTTATTATTTGAGTAATTAGCATTAGAATGATTACTATTAAAATTGTGCTTATCTATCTGATTAAACGTTAACAAGTTTATTCGATATTGCTTTTTATGTCGGTTCTATTGGTTCTGTTGGCACTGTATTATAGACACTAGTTTCAGTTAGATGTTTCTCAGTCGGATGATGATCGGTCTTCAATGTATCCATTGGATGTCACTATTGTCATTAACGCCATGACGCCAATTGAGAGTTTATTTATTACATTAAATTAATTAGAGTTTTTGAATCATATTTTCTAATCTGAAACCGATTTAACTGATCACCATGATTGGAAGGTAAATTCCAATTCATCAATTTTCAGTCACGTTCACTGACGTTAATAAAAACAATAATACAATATCAATACAAGTCTATTAAATTAATCGCAATTACAGCATACACATAATTATGTAGATTTATCAAATCTTAATTACTTCCACAAACATAAAAGTAATATTTAAACGATTTGTGAAGTATGCATACTGATAATAAAATTATTATTTCAGGTATGAACCAGAACTGCACCCAGGAGTTACTTATAAACTGAAAACTCCAAAAGCTACTCTAAAAATTTTCTCTACCGGAAGTGTTACAGTAACTGGTAAGACATATAGACATTACAAACTTTATTGTATAAACTGTATATGTTTTTTTAGTAATGTTTATTCCCAATAAGGCTTTATAAAAATGTTTCATGTAGGCCGAAAATTCAACATTCGTTAGCTTGCTACCAGTAGTTGGCAAAGTCATCATCAATCATCCAATCGCGTCCACTGCTGGACATAGGCCTCCCTCAGTTCTTTCCAGTGTTCTCTACACTGGGCCGCTTGTAGCCAGTTTCCCGCTACACGTTTTATATCATCGGTCCATCTAGTCGGTGGTCGTCCTCGGCTTCTTTTATAATTTCTGGGTCTCCATTCCATAATACGTCTTGTCCACCGTCCATCTTGTGTTCTGGCTAAGTGCCCAGCCCAGTTCCACTTAAGCGACGTGGTTCTTTCGATGACGTCTTGAACTCCTGATCTTTGCCTGATTTGTTGGTTTGTTATGTGTATTATGGTTCCATGGCTCGTTGTGTAACTCACTCATGTGTAACTCATAAGCTCGTTGAGTTTATTCGCAGATTTTTGCGTGAGTGTTAAAGTCTCTTCTCCATAAGTTTGTACATGCAAAACACATTGGTTATACACCTGTCTCAAGCGAAAGATTTCTAACCAATGGCAAAGTCATGGAAGACATCATTTCCGAGGAGATGACCAAATTCCTTCTCCAGGAATATGTTGTTCCAACACTACAACATGGATTTGCCTCTGGTCGCTCTACTCTAACCAATCTTCTACATTGTGTAGACTGGACGCCATCCCTTAACAGTTCGTAACAGTTTGTTGACGTTGTTTATCTAGATTTCTCTAAAGCCTTTGAAGGTGTACCTAAGCGGAGACTTCTACATAAGCTAGAACATTTCAGAGTTCGCGGTACTTTACTTGATTGGATAGATGATTTCCTGACAGATCAAGATGAGAAAGTTAGAGTTGGCGAATTTTTCTTACAAGACAGGTTGTGGAAAGTGGAGTGCTTCAGGGTTCTGTCCTTAGAACTCTACTTTTTACGGATTATACCTTCGATGTTTCAAGTAAAATATCGTTCTATGCTTACGACACAAAAATATATGTCAATCCAATCACAAACCAGCTAACCCTGCAAATCGACTTGGACTCTATTTTTTAACTTGGTGTTCCCGTGCTTTGATTTGGTAAAAATACCACTTGTACCTTAGTTTGTTAATGACTAGCCATTAGATTCTGCGTTCTCGTATAACGACCTTGGTGTTATCGTAAACAGCAGCCTAACTTGGTCCGACCATATTACTTCTATTTGTAAAAGTGCGAACTCCAGACTATCTTATTCGGAGGTGTCTTTTGAGAGTTCAGTGCAGTCATTCTGTATTGAAACTCTATACGCAAAACCCATTCTTGAATACACTGGACCAACGTGGTATCCTGATTTGGTTCGAGACAAAACTTTGTTGGAAAACGTTCAAAGAAAAGCCACTCGAATTCCTTTGGGACCGAGAAGACCTTCTTATGCAGAAAGACAATATGGCTAACCTAACTTCTGTTGAGCTTCGCCGACAACGTGGAGACTTACCTCATTTAAAATATTAAAATTCAATTTTGGAAATTTCGACGAATTGTTTATCATAAATCAAGATGAACGCCTCAGAGGTCACCAGCTTAAACTTAAAAAAGAGAACTTTTCTATAAAATCAAGACAGAATTTTTTACCAAATAGAGTTTTTGAGTCCTGGAATAACCTTAATGATAACATTATCTTTGCGCTCTCTACCAACGCGTTCAAAAACAGACTTGACCGTTTTATACTATAGTTAAAATATTGTTTTCCTTTTAAACCAAAAATTGTAATTTTGTAACTTTTTAATTTACTAGTAGGTTACTAATGTAATTTCTTTGTTTTTGGGTATATTAGGGACTCGTCGTCTTGCTTATGTATAATAATAATAATAACGAATAATAAGAAAGAAATATGTTCCCTGAAACAGAAGGTTCATTACTTGAAATTCAGCATTCAGGATCAGGTTATACCAACAAAAAATTACTTTAAATATATCATCAAAGACCCTTAAGTCCAAAACTACAAATGCCGATATGGATGTCAAGCCCAAGAAACTATCCAACATCTTACTGGAGGCTGCCAGACACTTGCTGCAACTCAATACAAGGAACGGCATAATTCAGTAGGGAAAATCTTTCATCAAGAAGTTTTTATCAAACTGGGACTTCTTCAAGCAAACGATCTCACATATTATCAATACGTCCCAGAGAGTATGGTTGAAAATGACAACTTCAAGCTATATTGGAACCGCACTATGATCACAAACCAAACAGTAGCATACAATAGACTAGATCTCGTACTAGTTAATAAACTAACGTGACAACACTAATCGATATGTTAAATACAACGAAAAGATCGCCAAGTACAAAGATCTGGAAATACAAATAAGGACACAATGGAGAACGAAAAGTACCCAGACGATACCTATTATTCTTTCTACTACTGGAGTCATTCCGAAGAACCTCCTAGAAAACATAAACAGCTGGTTGTGAATGAACATCTCTATAAGACCATGCAGAAAGCTGTACTACTCACGACGACCAGATGTGCACGACAATTTTTGGGAGATACTCCAGCAAACCATTCTAAGTCACCTAGGGCTTGATAACACGGAAAGACCTCCACCAGTGCTCAATACTTTTGATACCGTAGATGAATGAATTTTCCACTTAAAGGAAGTGTGAGCTGTATGGCTAAATCTGGATAATAATAAAATTTTTATATATATTTTGATGATTCTTATGGCATTAATACTTTATATGGGTTGTGTAAGAAAATATAACATCTAAACATATATAGAACATATAACACCTAAATTTGTTATACATTTTAATTTGTCTCAATATATAGTTGTTAGGGCTCATGTTATATACGGTTATTGTAGTTATTTTTTGTTGGATTTATCACGATTAATGGTTAAAACTGAGGGAAAGGGATAAATATGTATTCCATATGTTACATGTGAAGTACTCTCTCTAAACAATTTTTATCATTTCAGCTCCAAGCGTAGCAGACGTCCAAGCCGCTATCGAATATATTTATCCTTTAGTTTACGAATTTCGTAAAGAATTCACCAAAGAAGAACGGGAGGCGCTGCGCAGAAAAAAACAAAAACAACAACAAACGGGTGACATGCCTTTTGCCGAATATGACGATGAAGAAGATACTGAAAATATCTGCGAATCGAACAGTGTAAGAGAATCCGATATGTGGGATTAAACTCTTGCGTTATTATTTAATTGATTTATACACCTTTCCTAAGTTTCTATAACCTCACCAAAGACCAGACCTTGGACTATTAAAAACGAAAAAATAAAACGAATCTTTGTTGGAATTCAATCAATTTTTTTTATATTACATCTGTTAAAACTGATTGGTTTACTTAAAACTGAACATTTGTATCTTCATCATCAAAACACATCTAAAACAAAACGCTAAATGCTTGTTACTTATTGGCACGTGATTATATATTTTTATTTATGTTAAAATCAGAATTAAAAAGTTGCCGACCAGTATTTTTGTCAGTGTTTCAATGTTATCGGGAAATCACATCATGTAAATGGAGAAAATAAAATTTTTATTAATATTTCGACTTTAATCCTAAGGCTAATGTCGAAATACAAATCCGCTTTTAAAGATTTTGTTTTCTCAATTTAAAATTGTAATAAAATTATAAAAAAAAACGTTAGTATGTGTTAGAAATATCTTAAATAATGTAGTATAGATGAGTGTGACTTTTATTGTTGACCTTTTTATTGATTCTCGAGAAATGTTCCAAAAAATGACAACTGTATAATAGTCATAAGAGCTTTACAAAAAATAAATATTTTAGTCGGTATATTAATCCGGCTTGAAGGACCAATCCATGACTAGAATGCCCTATGCCTGGACTTTTTGTTCGATGATGTGAAATAATACGCTGTAAGGTAAAGTTTCTGATGGACTATATACATAAAAGAGTTCAACCTCAATTAGTAAGCTCACAATATAAGACAAACATTTGTCAAAAAAGCAAATAATTTGTGTCTTTGGCACGAGGGGCTTAAGTATTAAATTATTTGCATTATAAAATTATTGTTTTAAAATTTATGTTAAGATTTTGTGTGATTGCAAATTTAGGGGATTAATAATTTTTGATTCAACACTAAAAAAATGTTGATAATGATTACAAAGAGGCGAATCATATGTACGGTTAGTAATATTTGGTGTTTGCGAATTACTGAGTAAATAGTTACAGAATATTTCACAAAAGGTGAATGACGCATTATGTTCTAGAAACATTTTATAAAATGACTTTATAAAATAGTTATATAAATCAACAAATAGGATGATAATTAATTGGTTTGTTTTTTCCAAATTAAACAAATAAATGACTGAATAATATTCAGTGTGTTTTTAATAGATTATTAATGAAATGAAAAATCTAATATTAAAGCTACAATAATATTAATAAATATTATTGTCTATTTTAGTAATAGTCTTAGCCCGTTTGGGAACGTTTGCAAGCTTACTTGGGATACTCGTTTTCGTATAAGTATGACTTGGTTGACGCCCAAGGCTTCTATACTGCGATCTTATGATGTATGTATGACCTGATTCACCTGTGAAAAGATTGGGGATTGGAGAAGCCCAAGGCACGATTTGGGCTGTAGCGCAATTGGAGATTATATATATAAAGCTAAGATTAATACTATTACAAGAATTAATATTCATCTCAACACGCTTCCGGGTTGATCTGCGTCGATTTGCACTGCGCTGTAATCACAGCCGTTGTGTAAGAATAAAATAAATTGTAGAATCAATTTAAAGGCCAAAAGAAACACGTTTCACTAGAGAATTTAAATTAATCAGAAACACTGATAAAGTGATTAATTGAAAAATAGAAAACTAACTGTTAGCTAAATATTGAATAAAACTTCTTGATTATTTTATTAAATTATTTTAGGTGAAATGTATATTATTGTTCCAATACCAATGTTTTATTTTTTCTTTTTTATTGTTTTTTTTTTGTTTTTCCGAGGTCTGGCCTAGCAGTTTTTAATATAATGCTTGAACCTAGTCAGGTACATAATTTCGGTAGATGAAGACTGAAAGAAGTTTTTCTTTGTGATGATTTTTGTTTTTCGTTCGGACGATTTGCGTCCATACATACTATGGATATCTGTAGGATTTAAAACATATTAAAGATACAAATTTGCCTAAACTATTAATTTTCGATATTATTTTTGATTTCATTTTTACATTTATACCAAAGCAAAACGAATTATGATTGTTAAATAATTTATGTTCGTAAAACATACTGAACGTATACATTTGCGTAGTGCTATTTAATTTCCGATATCATTTTGATCCCATTTTCACATTATACCAAAGCAAAACGAATTGATACTATAGGATATTGCATACACTGAAATTTAATCAAATAATTTTGTTAATTTAGTACGTTTCTTTGTTGTTGACTATCGTTATTTATTACTAAGTACTATTCGGGCCAGTTTTTAAGATATAATAATGTTCACCAGCTAACTGATACATATTATGTCGTTATATACCTAGAAATTAGATATGAATCATATTTGCACAACAGAATACAACTATATACAATATTATATCAACATAAAATCAAACACAGTGTTAAATTTTGTTTTGGTAATAATATATACAAGGTTGGTACTCCAAGAAATAAATTACACCATTGACGTCATTTATTCGTTTCATCATTCGTGTCATCATTCGTTTGCATTGGTTATATTTTAAGTAACATGCTATACCTTATTTCATTAAGCGATGCAGGGCATATAAACAACGATAAATTTAACAGATAATTGTTAAAGATGTTCCAAATGAGTCTACTCGTTCCGAAAAGTAACAGTATAATTATGACACTTTATAATTTTTTTTCTTTTCTGAAATATTCGTGTTTATTGCATAGTAAATAAATTAATGTTATCACTGAATACATAGTCAGTGAAAAAATAATCCGATTTATAAAATTAATGAATATTTTATGCATAAATGCAAGTAACAGTTCTTCAAAAATATTTAAAAACTAACCGAAATGTCCATCTTTATTTCGTCTGCCGACGTTGTCGGCAGCTCATACCAGTTCGGACACGATTCACAAAGCAAAATCTTAAATTTCCGATTTCTCTGTTTTTAAGATTAATCATTTCAGGCGGTATCTCTTGTTTATTTTGCCGCAAAGTACCAATCATTGTAAGGTTGTAAGGAGGCTTCAAAAGAGTATCCGTAAGGTTCATTGAAATGAACCAATTGTCGATTGTGACGTTTCGGTAACTTTCATAAATAGTTTCAATCAACTTTTTAACACAGTATTCTCCTAGAGATTCTCCATTTTTGTGCGTATGTTTGCAGAGGTAAGGGTCTGCGTTCAACATGTACTTGGTATCCACGTCGCAAGTCATCACAATTTTAATTCCGTACTTGTCCGGTTTATTCGGGAGATACATCCTAAAAGACCACCGGTCCCTAAAAGCTAGTAACTGCTCGTCAATAGTTACATAGTTACTTAGTCGATAGGAATGTTTACAATGAAAAATTAATTCCTCCCATATTTCCAGGATAGGGGCAAACCTATCTATAATTTTTCTTTCAGTTCTTGTGGTTTTATCATCGAACCTAAGATTCATCATCATTCAATCTTCGCTTATCCACTGATGGACATAGATCGCCCCCATAAATTTCCATCTATTTCAATCTTGTGCCTCTTGCATCCAATTCCTATGACAAAGTTTTAGATCGTCAGTCCAACGTGTTGGTGGACGACTTCTGTCCGTCTATTATCTGTCATTCGAGCAACGTGACCTGCCCAGTTCCATTTCAGTGTTGCTACTCTCTCTACTGCATCAGCCACTCCTGTTCTTTGTCGTAGCTGGCGATTTGGGATCTTGTCTCGTAGTGAAACGCCCAACATAGCACGATCCATCGCCCTTTGACACACACGGATCTTTTGAACTGTTCTCCTTGTCATGGTCAACGTTTCCGCACCGTAAGTCAACACTGGCAAAACACACTGATTACCTATGGTTATGTAGGAGAAAATCAAATCTTTCGCAGTTCATTATTGCTCTATAAACGGAGCCAGAAATTTTGGAATCAAACTATATTACTATAATGATGGTTATCTTTTTGTGCTACAGAAAATTTAAGTAGTCCAACAAAAGCATTTAATTCATTCCTTTAGGCTGATATGAGTATTGGTGTGCAACAGAATTTTTCGAATATAGAAACGTTCATTAAACACTGAAATACATGTAATGGTGTATTAGGATTTTTGCCTGTCCAGATGATCCGTGAACAAAATGCAAAATATTCCCTTTTATAGAACGTTTCCGAAGATTAGATACAGTACACCAGCTATGACCATTTTTGCCTTTGAGACTCGTATTCAAATTGGAAGTATGCGGTTCAGATTCGTCCAGAATATGTTTGATTTCTCGCTCTTCAACTTGTTGAAAACACACTTCTTCATTGCCTTTTTGTTTTGACGAGGTTGAGTTGTTATTATTATTTGCTGAAATGAATGTCGGTTTCCACAAAAGAACATCTCATATTGAACTCTACATGAAGTGCTAGACATAGAAACAGAAGTAGAGTGGTATTAGGCTTTCTTTTTTTCGTTTTAGGACTACTACACTCAAAATCGCTGCTTTCATTACCAGAAAATTCTAGTACTCTGATTCAGACGGGCTGAAAAAATTTTGCACTCTGTCTTCATTTCCTGAATTACTGGAAGTTTCCTCATTTGATTGAAGGCTACCATCATCTAATTCACCCAGTAATATTTTTTCGGCCTCCAATTCTAATTGGGTTAGAGTCTTTTATCGTCAAATTTTCTAGCCATTTTTAATTAAATTGTTTGTGAATGAGAAAAAAAAAATAATAATACCAAGATAAAAAAACTTACGTTAACACGAACCTAAGCAAACGCGGTACACATCGCGCCTACAGTTTTCTCATGCCTAACATTTCATGTAGGATATAATAGTATATGATCCATGCAATCTCATAAAATATCTATTATTTCAGCTATGAAGCGCATCTTCAATCAGTGGTCTGCCAGTACGAGATCATGAATTTTGTCAAGTTAAACTCCGTGATAGCCGTTGTCGCGGTACCTGTGCGTGGCTTATCAAAAACTAATGTTCGACCACGTTGAATCCCGTTAAACCAATTTTTACGGTCACCATCGAAGAGGAAGAGACACCGTACGCAGCATCCCAGCGCTGTTTGATTTCTCTGCGCGATTTCACGCGACACGAGGTCAAAATAAAATTACGGATCCGATTCGGCTGAAATTTTGACAGTAGCCTTCCACGAGAATGCACTACAAGGTAGTAAATTTCTCTTGCGATAGTGGCGCTATCGAAGTACTTATCGAACCGCTCTCGTATATTTAATTTCAATATTACTTAGACGTTATAAAAGATAGTAAATAACAGTTATTAAACAATAACCTAAAATCAAATGAAAGCACAATTTCATAATGGTCGGAGTTGTTGTTCGCCAAATTCCTCATTTATTTAAAAAAATGCAACTTACTAAATTCAACTTATTCGATTTAGTGTTTAAGATAATGTTAAATGTATTTTACA